AAGAGTTTTCTTTGGGAGTTATGTTAGTTATATGAGTGGAAAAGTTTAAATAAGTACAATAACCTTATTTTAAATTAACGCAGAATTAATTACTACACAAAGAAAAAAAAAATAATATAAGAAAAAGTTTGTCTGTATAGAAAAAATTTTCTTAAAAATTAAAATTTTCTATACAAATTTTTTAAAATTTCTGTCACTATGTGTGTTTGTATGTTTGTTTGTTTGAGTTTTATTGACAGCTAAACGACTGGACCTGTATGTTTGAAAGGAACGATAGGCTAATTTTAACATCAAAATTTCAAGTGGACGACATGCCACGCCCACATACAAAATAAGTATTAAAAGTCGCATATCTCAGAAACTACAAGAGCTAGATCAAATATTGTATGGACAACTTTGACATCCATATGAATACATGGAGATAAAATTGGCATTCTAGCTGTAGTGGGCGTGGCACCTCCCATATAAATAAAATCTTAAATTAGTATATCTGAGAAAATATAACAACTAGAGTCATATTTTTTTTCGGAAACACTTTAGTATCAACATGCATGTTTAAAACAAAAAATGGGAGAACTAGAAATAGGGGGCAACTCCCATATGAATTAAGCACTAAAATTCGTTTTTCTGGGAAACTATTGTAGATAAAATCTTAAAATTTTGCACAAAGACCTTTAACATCCATGGTTTATTTATTTTCTATAAAAATAGGAAAATTCGAAAAATTTTTTTAAAAAATACGAAATTTCGACAAATTTCCTATAAAAATAGGAATTTTCGAAAATTTCCTCAAAAATAAGAAAATTTCCTCTAAAAATAGGAATTTTCGAAAATTTCCTTTAGAAATAGGAACTTTAGAAAATTTCCTTTAGAAATAGGAATTTTCGAAAATTTCCTTTAGAAATAGGAATTTTCGAAAATTTCCTTTAGAAATAGGAATTTTCGAAAATTTCCTTTAGAAATAGGAACTTTAGAAAATTTCCTTTAGAAATAGGAATTTTCGAAAATTTCCTTTAGAAATAGGAATTTTCGAAAATTTCCTTTAGAAATAGGAATTTTTGAAAATTTCCTTTAGAAATAGGAATTTTCGAAAATTTCATTTAGAAATAGGAATTTTCGAAAATTTCCTTTAGAAATAGGATTTTTCGAAAATTTCCTCTAAAAATAGAACTTTCGAAAAATTCCTTTAGAAATAGGAATTTTCGAGAATTTCCTTTAGAAATAGGAATTTTCGAAAATTTCCTTTAGAAATAGGAATTTTCGAAAATTTAATTTAGAAATAGGAATTTTCGGAAATTTTCTTTAGAAATACGAATTTTCGAAAATTTCCTTTAGAAATAGGAATTTTCAAAAATTTCCTTTAGAAATAGGAATTTTTGAAAATTTCCTTTAGAAATAGGAATTTTCGAAAATTTCCTTTAGAAATAGGAATTTTCAAAAATTTCCTTTAGAAATAGGAATTTTCGAAATTTTCCTTTAGAAATAGGAATTTTCAGAAATTTCCTTTAGAAATAGGAATTTTCGAAAATTTCCTATAGAATGGGAATTTTCTATAAATTTCTATAAAAATAGTATAAATAGAAATTTTCGAAAAGTTTCCTATATAAATAGAAATTTTCGAAAAGTTTCCTATAAAAATAGAAATTTTCGAAAAGTTTCCTATATAAATAGAAATTTTCGAAAAGTTTCCTATAAAAATAGAAATTTTCGAAAAGTTTCCTATAAAAATAGAAATTTTCGGAAAGTTTTCTATAAAAATAGAAATTTTCGAAAAATTTTCTATAAAAATAGAAATTTTCGAAAAGTTTCATATAAAAATAGAAATTTTCGAAAAGTTTCATATAAAAATAGAAATTTTCGAAAAGTTTCATATAAAAATGGAAATTTTCGAAAAGTTTCATATAAAAATTTAAATTTTCGAAAAGTTTCATATAAAAATAGAAATTTTCTAAAAGTTTCCTATAAAAATAGAAAATTTCGAAATGTTTCATATAAAATAGAAAATTTCGAAAAGTTTCCTATAAAAATAGAAAATTTCGAAAAGTTTCCTATAAAAATAGAAAAATAGAAAATTTCGAAAAGTTTCCTATAAAAATAGAAAAATAGAAAATTTTGAAAAGTTTCCTATAAAAATAGAAAATTTCGAAAAGTTTCCTATAAAAATAGAAAATTTCGAAAAGTTTCATATAAAAATAGAAATTTTCAAAAAGTTTCCTATAAAAATAGAAATTTTCGAAAAGTTTCCCATAAAAATAGAAAATTTCGAAAAGATTCCTATAAAAATAGAAAATTTCAAAAAGTTTCCTATAAAAATAGAAAATTTCGAAAAGTTTCCTACAAAAATAGAAAATTTCGAAAAATTTTCAATAAAAATAGAAAATTTCGAAAAATTTTCTGTAAAAATAGAAAAGTTCGAAAAATTTTCTATAAAAATAGAAAATTTAGAAAACTTTCCTATAAAACTATTAATTTTCGAAAAATTTCTCATAAAAATAGAAAATTTCTATTAAAAATTATACAATTTCTAATTTTTTCTTTAAAGAATAAAAAAATTCGAAAATTGTCTGTAAAAAATTTAAATTTTTTTGTTAATTCTTTAATGATTAATCAAAACTAAGTATAAGTTTGAAATATAAAATTTTGCCAAAACACTTGGCAATAAAACTAATTATAGGCATGAGTATAATAATATAATTGACAATAAAACACAAAATCCCTCTAAGTATGTGATTATTTTTTTTATAATTATTTTGTGACTTTCTAGCTTAGCCAGTATAATCCTGACAAACATTACCTTAGTTCCTTAGCTATTCTTTTGTTTTGCTTTTATTTTATTTGACATTTACCATCATGTACTTAGTATTATGTTAAAATGCTAATTACACAACCAATTACAACATTTACACATACATACATATGTATGTGTACAAACGTACAAACGAGAATATATTATTATCATTATACTAGTGTTAAATTGTTGCATTAATTGTTTTTGTTGTATTTTATGATTTAAATTTAGTACTAATTTAGTCAAGCTTTTGCCTCCTCTTCATAAAAGAAAAACACGAACGAAAACAAAAATAAAAAAAAAAAACAAAAACCCACAGTGGCCTAAGTGTGCTAAATGTTTAAAGATTGTGTGACTTGTAAATTGAATTAACGCACTTTGCCAACATTTAGCAGACATAAAGACGTCATCTACTACATACATACAACGAAAATACTACGACGACGAGTACTACAACTATTCATATAGTATTCACATTCTCTAGTATGTTGATTTTTTTTGGTCTAAATGAATAATAAGCAAAATTAAAAAATACACATTGTAAACAGAAAAAAATGAATGTTTTTATATGGTCACAAACAACAACAAACACAACATACACCCACTTGGCCAAGCCACCATGGCCAGACTGCTGAACAATTCATGTTTATTTCATTTTGTATTTTAAGTTTGAACTCATTCCCTCAATGAGTTTGTTTTGTATAAAATTCTATAATGCAATGATGTTTCGTAGTACAATGATAGTGACAGTACAGTTAGCGAAAATAGTTTACGGACACTTTAACTTAGAAACATTCAATTGACAGTCACGCACCAAAAAATTTTTCAAAATTTTCTAAAAACAAAATGCTTTTCGGAAGCAGCTCTTAAAAAGGAGCATTTTTCATAAATTTTCTATAAAAAGAGAAAATCGTGTAAATTTTTCATAATTGAAATTCCTCTAGAGGTTTTAATTATTTAACTCACTTATACAAATTATAGTTCTTATGGTATAACAGCTCGAAAGTATGCAACATTTTGTTTACTATTATATGATTTTCTCCTTTCATTCCCTTGCACTATAGGTCAGCTTCCTTAAATATAAGAAACTTGTAAATTATAAGAATGAATATAGATCTTTATTTATTTAAATTCAGTCTAGAAACAATTTTCTTACAGACTATGATAAATTACATAATTAATCAAATAAAAGTAAATATATATGAAAATACAAATTAATTTTATGATTATAAACATAATTCATTTAAAATTAAAAACAAATTTTCTTTAAAAATTGATTTTGAAGTACAAAACTCTATTTCTGGTTTATTACTGAGCTGGAGTTTAACATTAATTTCATTTAAAAGAAGAAAAGTGCGTGTTAACATACTATTTCTACCATACAATGTTCTATGGGTAGGAACATCGAACAAATAATTATACCTAAGATGTCTTGGAGAAACATGAAAGGGGATGTGGTACAGTAAATCAGGGCAATCTATATTGCCGTTGATTATATCGAAAACATATAAAGCAGAATGAAACTTTCTGCGAAAATCTAGAGACTGTAATCCAAGTAATAGACATCTAGATCGATATGATGGTATTGGATTATCAAAAGTAATGGATGAAAGAGCAAATTTAATAAATTTCTTTTGAACTCTTTCAACGCGGGTAATTAATTGTTTAGAATATGGAGCCCAAATAATAGCCGCATATTCAAGCCTTGATCTAACAAAGGCAGTGTAAATAATCTTAAGAGTACAAGGATCTGTAAATTCAGAACAATTTCTCTTAATGAAGGCAAACATAGAATAAGCTTTTGGGAGAATATAGTCAATGTGTTGAGTAAACAATAACATTGAATCAAATACAATTCCCAAATCTATAATAGATTTGACTGATTTTAAACTATAGTTTCCAATTTTGTAAACCGTTGGAATAGGATTTGGAGATCTTGTGAAAGTTAAATGAAAGCATTTATCAAAATTCAAATGAAGTTCATTAGACTTACACCAACAAAGAAAATTGGCTAAATCAGATTGCAAATTCAAGAAATGTTGTACTGTATCGATCCTGTGAAATATTTTTAAATCATCAGCATAAAGTAAACATTTAGCATATTTAAAACATGATGAGATATCATTAATGAATAAAATAAATAAAAGTGGACCCAAAACACTACCCTGAGGTATCCCAGAAGACTGAACATAAGTCTTTGAAAAATAATTTTCTACAACAACTTTACATAATCTATTTGATAAATAGGATTTTAACCAATTTAAAAAATTAGAGTGAAAACCGAACATTTGTAATTTACCTATAAGAATATTATGCGAAACTTTATCAAAGGCTTTAGAAAAATCGGTATAAATAGTGTCTACTTGACTGCGCTGTTCTAAGGAATATATACAGAATTCAGTAAAAACAGATAAGTTAGTTGTAGTTGATCTACCTGGAAAAAAACCATGTTGATTAGGTAAAATCCACGATTTAGTAATAAAAAATAGTCTATTATAGACTATATGCTCAAATAACTTTGAAACACAAGATAATTTCGAAATAGGCCTATAACAAGTAACATTATCCCTTCTGCCATCCTTGAAAACAGGAGTTATAGCTGCAAACTTCCATTTATCTATAAAAATTCCTTCTTTTAGAGATAAATTAAAAATAAAAGTAAGTGCGGTTTTTAAAGAAGATGCACAAATCTTTAGTAAATGACCACAAAAGCCGTCAATATCAGATTTGTAACTATCTTTACTATTCATAATTGCATTAAAGACTTCATCCTCTGAGACAGCCATGAAACCAATGTCCACAAATGGCATATGAGAAGAATTAGAGATATAATTTTTATTAGAAGGTGGTTTAAAATTTGATTCAAAAAATTCGGCAAACATATTTACAGATTCACTGCAAGATACAGAGGTTTTATCACCATAGTTCATAATCTTTGGTATATCAGATACTTGCTTTCTTGATTTAATAAAAGACCAAAAATATTTGGGATTACTTCTTATTTCATTTTCTTTCCCAAGTATGTATTGTCTATAGAGAAATTTATTCAAGCAATTAAATTCACGCTGATAGTGAATAAATTTGGTATGACTATCAGCTGAGCCTGAATTAACAAAGCGTTTATGGAATTTGTTTCGAAGGTTTTTAAGTCTCTTAAGACCACGAGTATACCAAGGTAATTTATAAGGCTTCTTTTTCTTTAATGGAATATTTTCTTTACAAACATTTAGAACTACATCAACAAATTTATCATAGCAAGATGAGGTTGATGGTCCAGACAAAATATCCATCCAGTTAATACCATTAAAAATAGAGTTAAGTACATCTGACTTACATAAATTAAAGTTAAAATCTAAAGAATTTGATAAATCAATGCAATTAAAGAAATTATAAGATTCAATTTCAATCACTAAAGGCAAATGATTTATGTTGCGGCTCGATATTGACAAAAAACTTTCGAAAACTTTAAACTTACAGTCATAAGGAACAAAAATTAAATCCAAAAACCGATTTAAACTATTAGCAATATGATTGATTTGAATTAAATTGATTGAAAGCAAACTGTCAATAACTTCAATTTCATTAAATTTATTTACATTAAGAGGAAATAGTGAAGCACTATTATTAATTTGTGTCCACAAAACATCAGAAAGATTAAAATCTCCGAGAACACATAAACGAGAGTTTAATGCCAATTTATCATTCACAGATAAAATGTTTGAAACATGAGCCGAGTAAATGTTATTAGATATATTAGGTGGTATATAAGAAACAGATAAATGCAATACAATATTAAATCCAGTAATGGATACAATAAGTTGATCTAATAGGCCATTATTATCATCAATGTTAATTAAAGAAGACTTATAAAATTTTTTAACGGCAACTAAAACTCCACCTCCTCTAGTACAACCAGTACGAGCTGCATTTCTATCCTTCCGATAAACATTATAAAGATTAATATCAAAAAATTCAGCGTCATAAAAGTCAGGATTTAGCCAGGTCTCGACTAAAACAATCACATCAAATAAGCATTGAGATGAGAAATCATAAACCATTTTAGATTTAGTGCGCATTCCAGACAAATTTTGATAGTATATCTGAAAACCTTTTTTACTTAAAGCTACTGATGATCGTTCTGAACGAGATTCCTTTGAAAATTTATGAATGGCCGAACTTTAATGTCAGTTGGCCAGAGTTCAGGATTCAAAAGATCTTTGTAGAAGCACGGAGATACACCAAGTTTAAAATTTATTCGTTTTAAATCATTGACATTAGCATCTTTCTTTATCAAAGCAAAACAAAGCAGATGCTCTTTACTAATCTGTGAGTTCTTATTTACATAATTTATGATTTGCTCTGGCAGGACAGTAGGCTTAAAAGAAGAAATATGAATCCACTTTTTTTGAATAACAACTTCCAAGTCATCTGATGATTTTACTCCAATAACAACAGGCCCCCTTTTACGTCTACGCCTATGTACATTAATCCAATTAGATGTGTCTTGAGTTGGTTGTGTATTATCATCAAACATGTTAGCACGATTAACAGCAGCATCTGATTCGATAGTTGGTAATGAAGAAACAGAAGAAGTAGCAGATAAAAAATGTTGTGTGTTTGAAGCAGCTTGTGTACTAGTACTTTGTCCAGCAACAACACCAATAGCATTTACATCACTTTTTGTTTTTTGTTGATTTTTTGGCAATTTTATT